TCCGAAAGCAGGCTTAGAGTATACATTTCAAGTGTACAAGTAATATGTACTTGTTTCCTCCATGTACTATATGACAAAGGTATTCCTTAAGTCCTCACGCGTGACGCCGCTTTGAACTCAACGAGGGACTTCACGTGGCAGCCTCCGGTGCCTACCCTAATGCTCGCTATGGGTACTAACTAATGGGTACGTTAGGGCTCTCAGGGCTCTTAGCTTCTGGCTAGGAACATTACACTGATCTACCCACCAGTTAGTTACTTGCTAGCAAGGAGGGTTTTCCCGATGTGCTCTGACTGACCGCAACTCACAGTTGTCTAGTAGCATGGCTGGGATCTTTGAGGTACCCTCTCCGCTTAGCCTTCAAGTACTTTTGTCTTTCTCTTCCGCGGCCATACCCAAGACCACCGTTTTGTGCTAACACCACAGATGCTCTCGTGCTGGACATCTGAGCCCGCCAGGCTGCACTCGCACTGTGGAGCAGAAGTTAGACTCACTTGGACGATGGCCACAAGAATTGCTTAAACAAAGTCTGTATGACTTGGGCTGGAGATAGGCTGTACAGCTCAATGATTGACTCTGTACTGTGCGTGTCAGGGATGCAGGCGCATCAGGCACTGGCAGGTCGCTCACCGTCCGGCCTTTCCTCCGCTTGTCTTGCTCCATCTGACAAGGGTTATCAAGGCAGACATGGATAGTGGAATGACGCTGGTTCTGCCAAGGCTGTGTCGCACTGCCATTTGCTGTCTCTTATCTGCATGATGGGAGTGGATATCGATGAACAGCGACGAACGGCCATGCAGATGTGACGGCCCAGAGTGACAGCAGGGAGAGTGATTTATGACATACTTAGGTTTTTACCTTGATCCAAGGCTCACCTTTAAAGAACATGTGCGATATTATGCCATCAAAGCATGCAGCACTGTTAACTCACTGTGCATGCTGTGTAACTCAGTTCGGGGTATGTCTCCACAGGATAAACAAAGGCTGTACATTGCAAATGTAGTGCCAGTCATGTGCTATGGTGCTCAACTGTGGTACCATCCAAAATG